CCCCCTCCCCTCCTCCCTGCCTCCTTCTTCTCCCTCTTCCCCTCCCCGTCTCCCTCTCTGTCGTGCTGGCAATTGAATCCACATTTGCCAGGGAAACATGGGAAGAATCCTTTATTTAGAGGGCATGGAAAGGGCTGGGGATATAGCTCAGCGGCAAAAGAGCCTGCCTGGCAAGCGCATGGTCCTGAGTTCAATTCCTGGTACAAAAAAAAAAAAAAAAAAATGGCATGGAAAATGCCATCTTCTTTTTTATGTATTTTTATTAGTTCATATTAATTTTACACAGTGCTGGGTTCCAATGTGGTATTTGCATGTGCACATAACATGTTCGATCCTATCCAGCTCCCCACTACCCTCCCTGCCAGGCATCTTGTGAATAGGGCATCTTATCAGGCATAATTTTGGAAAACAAGAAATATATCATATTTGGAGAAAAGGCTTGTGTAATTGGAAATATCAAGGGAATCAATTGAGAAACTGTTGCAAATAATAAAAGAATTCCGTGGAATAACATGGAAAAAGATTAACAAACAACTACTTTCTCATACGCCAACCACAGCCAACTAAAAAATATAATGCAAGAAAATACCCTATTTACAATAGCAACATAAAATGCACAAAAAGTTCAAGTTGTAATGAAATTGCAATATCTCTCTACAAAATATTTAAGAATAAAGGCCCCAAATCAAGAAAACCTTGCCAGGGGCCAGGGATATAAAACTCAGCAGCACAGTGCCTGCCTGGCAAGTGCAAGATAGAGTTCGATTTCCAGTACAAAAAGAAAAGAAAAGAGGACTGGGGATTTAGCTCAGTGGCACAGCACCTCCCTGGCAAGTGCAAGGTTGTGAGTTCAATTCCTGGTATTGAGGAAAAAAAAGAAAAAGAAAAAGAAAAGGAAAGGAAAAAGAAAAGAAAAGAAAACCTTGCCAGGCATGGTGATATATGCTTGTAATCCCAACTACTAGGGAGGCCAACATAGGAGGACTGCAAGTTTGAGCCCAGGATGGGCAATTTAACTAGAATTTGTCTCAAAATAAAGAAATAAAAAAGGCCTGAGGATGTAGCTCAGTACAAAGGCCCTGGGTGCAATCCCTAGTAGTGCAAACAAACAAGTGGGAAAGATAAAAATAAAGAAGAAAGGAAAAGAAAATCTTATTCTACCAAAGGGCATAAAAGATTTGAACAAATCGTCATGTTCTTGGATAAGATGACTAAATAATGTAAAGATGTCATGTTCCCCCTAGATTTATATCCATATTTAACTGTGTGGCAATATGTTTTTGTTTTGTTTTTGAAACAGGGTTTCACTACATAGTTCAGGCTGGCCTTGAACTTGCTATGTAACCCAGGCTGGCCTCAAACTTGCAGTGATCCTCCTGCCTCATCCTCCAGATTGCTGGGATTACAGGTGTGCACCACCATTCCTGACTCCAACATTTGTTTTTAATTAAACAAGTCTATAATAAATTTTGTAAGAAAAATAATGAAAAAGGACTAGCCTTGTCAAACATTTAAACTTATTAAGTGACTATAATAATTAAAACAGTGTTACATTCATGTATGAGTAGATGGAAGACTAGTTAAACAGGCTGGAAAGCCCAAAATATACTGAAAATATATACAAGATATAAGCTAGAATATTCAAAGAAAATCAGTGGGACAATTGGCTAGTACTGTGGGTAAAGCAAGTTAGATCCATCCCGCACTTTCTTCAGCAGGATAATTTCTACCTGTATTAAATATTTAAATAAGAAAACAAAGATACTAAGACGAAACATGGGGAGAATCCTTTATTTATAGGGCATGGAAAATGCCAGGTTATAACTTGAAATTCACATGGCATTTGACTGAAAATAACAATAACAAACTTCTGCATAGCAAAAAGATCAAAAACAAAAAGATAAACAAAACCTATGTTGCAACTGCCTATAATCCTAGTGCTCTGGGAGACTGAGGCAGTAGGATCACAAGTTTTAGCCCAGCCTGGGCAACTTAGTGAGACCCTGTCTCAAAACAAAATATAATAGGGATTAGGGATATAGCTTAGTGCAGAGGCCCTGAATTGGATCCTTAGTACCACAAAAATAAATAAATAAATAAATAAAAAGAGAAATTTCACTCAACTCATATCATAATAGCTAATTCCCTAATATGTAAAGAGTGTCAAGAATTCAAAAAGAAAAACACAACCCAATTTCTAGTAAGTAAGGGATAGAAACAAGTGAGTCATTGCAAAGAAAGAGGGAGAGATGCTCAGTATGACTCATAACAAGGAAAACACAAACTAAGACACACTGTGCTGTCACTTTTTGCCATCAGATTGGGCAAAATCCCCAATGTTACTTTCTTTTTTTTTTTTTTTTTTTTTTGTTTTTGTTTTTTCTCCGGTACCGGGAACCGAACTCACGAACTTGCGCTTGCCAGGCAGGCGCTTTGCCGCTGAGCTAAATCCCCAGCCCCCCCAATGTTACTTTCTGTTAGGGAGGCCAAGCAGCCTCGTGTGTCTCAGGTGAAGAGAATGAAGGATATGGATATGTAGGAAAATTTGAAATCTTCAAAATTAAAAACGCCTATGCACCTTCACCCAGTAATTACACTGCTGAGGGTTTACAGCAGTGAAACTTACCATTCAGTGTGCAAGGAGAGATACGCAGGGTTACTCCCTACGGCATTGCTCATAATGGCAAATGATTAGAAAGAACCTAAGTGCTCATCAGGAAATGATTAAATACATTGCAGTATATTCACACAGTGGCACACAGGCATAAAAAAGAATGAGTGGGAGCTAGGTTTGGTGGGCCCACCTATAATTCTACCTGTTAGAATGGCTGAAGCAGGAGGATCTCAAGTTCAGGGTCAGCTTGGGCCATTTAACAAGACCCTGTATCAAAATAAAAAATACTTAAAGGGATGGAGTTGTAGCTCAGTGGTAGAATACTTGCCCAGCATGCATAAGGTCCTGAGTTGCATCCCCAATACCGTGATATACATAGATAGATAGATAGATAGATAGATAGATAGATAGATAGATATAGATGTATTTCAAAGGAAGGAAGGGAGAAAGAAGAAAGAAAGGAAAGAGAAAGAAAGGAAGGAAGGAAGGAAGGAAGAAAGAAAGAAAGAAAGAAAGAAAGAAAGAAAGGAAGGAAGGAAGGAAGAAAGAAAGAAAGAAAGAAAGAAAGAAAGAAAGAAAAGAAAAGAAAAGAAAGAGGGAGGAAAAAAGAAAGGAAAAGGAAAGAAAGAGAAAATAGAACAGAATGAATGGGACCCCCAGTTTCACTAAGGTAGAATGCCTCCATTTCTCTCAGAACCTCTCTCTGGCAAGTAAAAGGCCATAGAAAATCTGAAGGATAGAAAGGAAAAAGGATCCTATGAACCAATAATTCTCATGTACTTAGATGTAAAAATTCTCAGCAAAATATTAGCAAATCAAGGCCAGCAGTGTATAAGAATTATATACCATGACCAAGTGGAATTTATTGCAGGTATGTAAAAAGTGGTTTAATATTTGAAATCAACCAGTGTCATCTGTCACATCAGTATGAGGCAGGAGGTAGCTAAGAAACAGCAGGGAAAGAAGCAAAGGCCCACCCTGGAGCCTGCTTTGTGGGATAGAGCCACCTTCTGAGTTAAACATTAACCCAGCACCGGTATCTCCAGGTCTAAATACAGTGAGAGAAAGTAACCAGGTAACCTAGCTCAGACGCAGGTCTCCAGGAGAGCACCCCATGGTCTTTAGCAACGCATGGCTTGACCCCAGCCTCAATGAACATGTCACTGACTGTGCAGTTTTGATCCTGCCCTCTGCATGTGCTTTAATAATCCAGAGGGATTTATCAAAATTTAAAATGTCTGTGCCCTTTAGCTGGGCACAGGGGCACATGTATGTAATCTCAGCACTTGGGAGGCTGAGGCAGGAAGACTGCATGACAGTTTCTCCAAGGGCCATAAAATGTCAAAATCTCTACCATCCAGGGCAGGAGTAGAGCCAAGCTGCTCATTGACAAGAGTCAACCCTCAGAACAACCCCTCAATCCTGTCCCAAACCCTGATGCTTAAAACTCTGTGAGGAGAAAAGAAACTCTTTGGGATCTAGTGTTAAGGTAGAGTTCTTAGACTTGGCCCCAAAATTAGGGTTAATAAAAGCAAAAATTGATAACCTAGACTTCATTAAAATTAAAAACATTTTTCTTCGTGAAAGACCCTGTTGAGTAACAAATTGAGAGAGAATATTTGTAATCCACATTTCTGAAAGATTGATATCTAGAATGTATAAAGAACATTCAAAACTCAACAGTAAAAAACAACCTACTTAGAAAATAGGCAGAATACAGAAATAAACTGGGCATGGTGGCATATATCTGTAAGCCCAGCACCTGGGAGGCTGAGGCAGGAGGATCACTATGAATAATCCAGCCTAGGTTACAGTAAGTTCAAAACCAGTCTGAACTACATAATGAGACCCTGTCTCAGGAAAAAAAAAAAAAAAAAAAAAGGAACAGATACTTTCACCAGATAAGGCATATAAGCAGATAAGGCATACAAACATATGAAAAGATTTTTAATAGTATTAGGCATTAGGGAGCTGCAAATCA